TCAGCGCCCGATGAAACCTGTTGTATAGGGCGGCTGGTGCGCGCTGGTGAGTTCGGGATCTGAGGCGAACATGAGGCCGGGCGATGTGCCCGTTGTGAAGCGCAGCCCCTGTGCCGCCATCCTACTCGATTTTTGGCGCGTTGACGGGGTGAGGGGGATGCCACAAGATTGGGGTTCATGCCACACGGTGAGGAGGTGGAGGTGGAGAGGGGGGGGGGGGGCATCAGGTGGCGATCACAGCGTCAAGCAGTTGAGGGCTGTAATGGGGATGATGGGGTGTAGGGAGTGTGGGCAGTCAATGAGTTCATAGATTCATGGTAGTGGGAGAGCGAGTGAGATCAGAGGATGGGAGGAACACGGAACGTTCTAACTCATAGGACAAGGGCAAAGACGGCCGAGATGAGCATGGCAACGGCGGCGGCAGCAGCGACGGGAGTGGTGGTGATGCCGGCCGAGGGGTAGGGGTCCGATCCGGACTCGGTGGTGACGTAGAAGCGGTACGAGCCAGAACCACCCTTGTTCGTCCCGTACAGCACCACTGCGATGGTCTTCTCCTCCTGGCTCCGGAGCAGCGGCAGGCCGAGCGTGGCACGGGCGATCACGTTGTTCTTGTTTGCCTCACGCACGTCGAGCGAGACGTCCGAGTCGAGCGGGGCCACAAAGGTGGTGGCTGAGAGATAGCCCAGCGATGAGGTGACCGAGTTGGCATCGATCACAATGTCGGAGGCGATGTCAAGGCCTGCGTTGAGTACCATGATCGAGGTGGTATCGTTCCGTGCCTGCGTTGCCGGGCGAGAGATGAGCGAGAACGAGGACTCTGAGACCGACGAGGTCGAGGTCTTGACGGCAAACAGACGACGATCGGTCCGGCGGGCAGCAGGCGTGTACGTCTGCTGGATGTTGGTCCCATCGTTGGAAGAGGTCATCTTGAGGTTGATGGTCACCGCCGGAGTATAATCGAGGACAGCACAACGAGCAAAGGCCACATCGCCCGTCTTCTCTGCACTCACCGCCGTGTTGGACAGGACCAGCGTCTCGCCTGAGACATAGTTGCAAAAAGTGAGCTCGTCAGCATGGCCCGTCATGGCCAGCACAACCACAGCAGCCATCACCACCACCACCGCGAACGTAGTGTGCACCATGATCCTCTTCTTACTTGTTGTCAGAGTGACAGTGCAGTGCTTGTGTCCCCCTCTCTCTCCCCTCTCCCTACCCTACCTCTCTGGGCATCTATCGTGTCACCGTTGGGTTGCTGGGGAATTGCAACTGAAGTGATGCCGGGCTGTGGGGTTGTTGATGGGCGATGATGGTGGCATAGGCATGGGGTTGCTGACGACGGCATGGGGGTTGTTGATGGGCGATGATGGTGGCATAGGCATGGGGTTGCTGATGCCGGGCTGTGGGGTTGTTGATGGGCGATGATGGTGGCATAGGCATGGGGTTGCTGATGACGGCATGGGGGTTGTTGATGGGCGATGATGGTGGCATAGGCATGGGGTTGCTGATGACGGCATGGGGGTTGTTGATGGGCGATGATGGTGGCATAGGCATGGGGTTGCTGATGCCGGGCTGTGGGGTTGTTGATGGGCGATGATGGTGGCATAGGCATGGGGTTGCTGATGCCGGGCTGTGGGGTTGTTGATGGGCGATGATGGTGGCATAGGCATGGGGTTGCTGATGACGGCATGGGGGTTGTTGATGGGCGATGATGGTGGCATAGGCATGGAGTTGCTGATGCCGGGCTGTGGGGTTGTTGATGGGCGATGATGGTGGCATAGGCATGGGGTTGCTGATGCCGGCATGGGGTTGTTGACGACGGCATGGGGGTTGTTGATGGTGGTATAGTATGGGCATGGGGTTGTTGACAACGGCATGAGGTGGTTGATGGATGGCAGCACAAAGTGGTCGCTGGCAAACTACGCAAAGAGGTCACTGGTCGACGACGGCACACGGTCGGCCTTTCTCGGGGCATTTACCACGACCTATCACGGGATATGCAGATCGGGATGGCGCAACACGTGCGCAACACCCATTGGCATCAGCCATCATATGGCTGCTGGTGCCATGCGGCAGTGTGGGAGAGCGGTGCAGCATGGGCAAAAGCGTCGAGGAGGTGGGCCGAGAGTCCAAAGAGGGTGTGCTCAGAGAACGCTGGGCCAATGAGCTGCATGCCGAGCGGAAGGATGCCATCGGCGGTGCTGGCGGTGCCGAGCGGGAGCGAGAAGGCCGGCAGGCCAGCGAGGTTGGCGGGGACGGTGAAGACGTCGTTGGCGTAGGCGGCAAGCTCATGATCCAGCGGCGCGTCATCAGCAACAGTGCCATCGATGCGTGGTGGGGGTGTTGGCGCCGTGGGTAGCAGCAGTGCATCAACGTGGCCAAAGGCGGCAGCCAGCTCGGCGGCCAGATCGGCACGGACGCGCCCGGCGGCAACGTAGTACTCGGCGTACGCCGCAGCAGAAAGCACATGAGTCCCCAGAAGAATCCGCTTGCGGACCTCGGGCCAAAGCCGGCGGTGCGGTTGGCAGTAACAACAGCGTCGTACCCGACGGTATCGCGCCCGGCGGCTCCGTTGCCGTACCGCAAACCGTCGTACCGCGAGAGGTTCGATGCAGCCTCGGCCGCGGCAATCACGTAGTACGCTGCTAGGGCGACCGGCAGCGACGGGAGCTCGATCCATTCGACTGACGCGCCGCCGGCCTCGAGCGACCGCGCCGCCTCTCGCCACAGCTGCTTGACCTCGGGCGCAAGCTCAGCAATGAGCGCCGAACGCGGCAGCCCGATGCGCTTGCCGGCCAGCTCGGGAGCGGCCTCAACGGCATCTGCATACGATCCCAGTGCGGTAATGGCGTCAGGCGCCTGGCACGAGGTGGCGTCGTCGGCATCAAAGCCTGCAATGGCGTCCAGTCCAGTGGCGGCCATGCCGAGCTCGGCCGCGAGCACGCCGATGGTGTCCATCGAAGAGGCGTATGAGATGAGCCCGCGGCGCGAGACAAGCCCATACGTCGGCTTGATGCCAATGATACCGTTGTATGCCGCAGGCAGACGAACAGATCCGCCGGTGTCCGAGCCAAGCGCAATGTGCGCAGCGTTGATGGCGACCGAGACACCAGCCCCGCCCGACGATCCTCCCGGCGAGCGAGCCGGATGCCAAGGCGAGACGACCGGCCCAGCTGCCGAGTTCTGCGAGTGTGCTCCCATACCAAACTCGTCCAAGTTGGTCTTGCCCACCATCACAGCATCGGGTAGCGCAGCCTTGAGCGCCGCCACTGCCTTTGCCTCAAACGGCGAGACGTAGTCATCAAGCAGCAGTGATGCTGCCGTGCTCGGGCCATCTTCCTCAACAGTACAGATGTTGTCCTTGATCGAGATCCTCACGCCAGCCCCAGCCCCTGTCGCCCCTGATGCCGTCGCCCCATGCCCTCCCGCCCCACGTCCGCTCCATGCGCTCGGCGGGGTGACCGAGGTAAACGCGTTGAGTCGCGCGTTGGCCCCGGCTAGCCACTGGGCGTACCGCGCAGCCATAGGAAGTGTTAGAGATAGAGTTAGAGAGGTGTAGTAGTCGGAGTAGTGTGTGTGTGTGTGTTTGTATGTGTGTGTGTGTGTGTGTGTGTGTGTGTGGGGCCGTGGCTGATGTGGGTCGGTCGTCCGGTTCCGACGCGACACCGTCGCAAGTTGAGCGATGGGTGGGGCGGGAAGGAGGGGGAGGGGGAGGAGCGGAGGGGGAAGGGGGAAGGGGGGGGCGGACGGGCCGTGAATGGCGGGCTACGATGAGAACTGATCGGGAAGGTCTGGCTGAGCTGATGAGTGGTTTGAGAGAGTGGGTGTGATTGGTGAGGTGGATGGCTGTGCGCGCAGAGGCGAGGATGCCGGAAGCGCAAGGGGGGTACGTTACTTGGGATTGAAGATCTTGTAGATGCCCGACTTGTGGGCAAATATGAAGAGGTGCTCGGTGTCCTCGTCTGACTTTGACGAGATGTTGCCCGGGCCGATGGAACACGACGAGTAGGCGGCCGAGGACTGGACGAGGACCCAGCCCTCGGCCCGGAGCGCGTCGAGGACCTCCGAGAGCTTAAAGTTCTTGAGGAGCCAACCGAGCTCTGTGAGCCCGTAAACACGAGTGTGCAGATCGTCGGACTCGACGGAGAACGGCGGCTTGCGCGGGGGGACAACGCCACCGTTGAGCTGCTTCATGACGGCATCGACGGGGCCTTCGATGAGCTTGACGCCTGCACCCTTGACAGTGAGGACGACGTATCGCCTCTGGTATGGCGAGTTTTCAGAGGCAGCCTCGGCCTCGAGCTCAGACGCAATGAGCTCCTCCAGTTTCGTGACTTGGAAGAACGAGGCCTCGAGCAGGAGGCCTTCGAGTGACACGTCGTCGGGGCGGATGAGAACGCCTGTCCGAAGGTAGTTGAGGAGCGGGCCAAAGTAACGCGGATCGCGGTCAAAGAGGACGGCACCGGACGCGTCGGTGGCCGACGACCACTCGAAGCCGTCACCCGAGTCGCGTTGCGAGCGGCCAAACAGCCTGGCCAGCATCGAGTCCGGATCGCGACAGAGGGTGGTGCGCGACGTGTGAAACACTTGGCCGCCCACATTGAGCGAGACCCAGTCCGAGTTGGGCGGCGGCGCCATCGAGACTGCCGGCGACGAGCCAAGAAGGCCGTCGCCACCGTCCGTCGACGAGTACGCCAGCGCTGCAGCTGAGAGCGACGGCGCCGATCCGGGACCCGGCATGCAGACCGCCGACGAGACAACCACGGCGGTCTGGGTGGTGAGGACCGAGCCGTCGTCCGAGACCGAGCACAGATCCGAGCCTTCGGCCGTATCGTGCCGCTGTGAGACAACCGAGAGCACACGCTGCAGCTGCTTCGGCCGCGGCGCGTCCGAGACAAACAGCAAGTCATTGTTCTGGATGACGTCGACCGACCGCACAAGACCGCCCGACTCAGTGTACACCATCTTGGCGTTGATGCCGAGCTCGCGCGAAGCGACCGTGAGCAGATCGGCAAAGGTGTTCGGAATAACAACAACAGCCGCCTCGGGCATCTGTGTTGAGCTCTCGGCCGCGTCCAGCGGCGGCATGCCTGGAAGCGTGAGCCCGGACGGCGGTGCAGCCGCGAGAGAGGCGATAAGGGTACAGCGGCCGCGAGCGACGGCGCGCGACTCGACTGTGAGGCCAAACTGGGGTGCTTCGCCCGACGCCACGTAGACCACATCGTCGTCGCGGATCCAAGTGACCGCATCGATGATGGCCCCGCTCTGCGCAAACACTGTGCTTGCCGGCTCGGCGAGCTTGAGCCGGTCTGTACTTGCCCTCAAGAATGTGCTCATGTCGCTGGGAAGCGCCATAAGCTGTGGATCGAGGCCACGCATGACATGCCGAGACGAGTCGAGCCATGACGGCAGGCAGAGGCGGAGTTTGACGGTGGTGTTGATGCGTGGACGAGTCGGAAGGAATGTCCAAGAAGGAATGGCGTGAGTCTGGCGAAATGCGGCAGCCGAAATGGGGGTAAGAGCAGGTGGCGCAGGTGGAGGAGAGGGGGGGGAGGGGGCACAGAAGGGGGAAACGGGAGCCAGGAAAAGCCAGTGAGCATCATCATACGTACCACTCCAGGAGCATGAGGACGTTCATTATCGATCACGGTGCACCGTCCGCTCGCCATGCCCACCACCACCCTTGGCGAGAGTGCGGTGGCCACGAGTCGCGAGCAGACCATGGACCGACCGACCGACCGCCACCCGACCGACTGGCCGACCGACCGCCACCCGACCGACTGGCCGACCGACCGCCACCCGACCGACTGGCCGACCGACCGCCACCCGACCGACTGGCCGACCGACCGCCACCCGACCGCCACCCGACCGACCGGCCGCCCACCCATCGCA